GATGTCTGATTGCTAGCTTAGGCCAGATCCCCCGAAGAGCAGTTCTAAGCCAGCAGATGGTCATCCCCCAAGGGTTCCCAGACTGCGAGAGGGCACAGGCCGGGCTGAGGGACTCCTTACCCCTGAGTGTACAAATTTTTGTGCACCAGGCCTCTAGTTCTCCTATAATTATGTATATGATACCATATCTCATCACATCAAATTACTTTGTCTGTTTCCCTGACTAAACTGTATGTCACTGGAACAGCAGGGACTATGTGGTCTCAGTCTTCAGCATGCTGCCTATCCTATCCTATCTAATAATAGACAAATATGGTTATTAACTCTACTTCCGACATGCTTCCCATTGGCTAATCAGGGTGATATGCAAATTAACTGCCAACCAAGATGGCAGCCGGCAGCCAGGCAGCTGAAGCGAACAGGAGGCTTGCTTGCTCCAGTGATGGAGGAAGCCAAGGTTCCCCACCTGCCGCTGCCGGTCTCTGAGCTGCACTCTAAGGCAACTATGTAACAAATATAGAAGCTAAAGAAACCCAGAAACCTGCTTTAGTCCAGACAGCCATAGAAGGTAAATAAATCCCAGAATAAAAAAAGAAAGAAAAAAAGGAGAGGTTGGGAGCTTCAGTCACCTGCCAGCCTGAAAAAAGCCCTCAGCCCCTCACCCTGACTGGCAAGGCACCCACCCTGACCTGGGACACCCTTCAGGGCAAACCAGCCGACCCCCACCCATGCAGGAGGCCTCTATCCTATATAGTAAAAGGGCAATATGCAAACTAAACCTAACAGCAGAATGACTGGGAATGACTGGTCACTATGACACACACTGACCACCAGGGGGCAGACGCTGAATGCAGGAGCTGCCCTCTGGTGGTCAGGGTGCTCTCACATGGGAGGAGCTCTGCTCAGGCACAAGCCAGGCTGACGGCTGACAGTACAGTGGTGGGGGTGGGAGCCTCTCCTGCCTCCTCAGCAGTGCTAAGGATGTCCGACTTCAGTTTAGGCCTGCTCCCCACTGGAAAGTGAACATCCCCTGAGTGCTGCCAGGCTGCCAGAGGGATGTCTGATTGCCATCTTAGGCCCAATCCCCGGGGGAGCGGGCCTAAGCCAGCAGGTGGTCATGCCATGAGGAGTCCCAGACTGCGAGAGGGCACAGGCTGGGCTGAGGGACGCCCCCGCCTGAGTGCTCAAATTTTTGTGCACCAGGCTTCTAGTACAAATATAAAATCATTACATTGTACACATGAAATTAATATAATATGTCAATTATATCTCAAAAAATTTTAAAATGTATATAGGGTGGTCTGAATTATAGTAACAACTGGAAATATAGGGTTGTTAACATACAGGTGTGTGGGCTGTGCATTGTATAACTCCAGAGGATTTTATTTACTTGGAGTCTGCATGGTCCTTTAGACAGTCTTGGATAGTGGTTTGTTCTCAGGTCATGGAGGTATTTCAGAGACCCTATATCAGATGACTGTGATCTCCTGGAGCATAGTAGGGTTGCTAATAATTGTTCCTGCAAGCTTTTCAAGCAAAATCCCTATAATTTCATTCTAAATTGTTTCTCAGAATTCCTATAGTATTTAATTGTATTAAAGAAGATTAAGATATCAATGTTTCCAAAACTACGTCCTCTCAAACTAAAAAGACATAAATAAGGAATAAGGAAAGTTGACAATTGACATCTCATATCCTAAATTATGAATTGATTCATGATAAATTTTATAGTGATCAGATATTATTCCAGGAGTAAAGTTATGTTCACATGTTGGTTCACTGGTTACATAAAAAGAGTAATTTTTGTCATCTTACACAAGCCAGAACTCAAACTCCAGTTTGTAAGTCTTCAAAACCAATGTCCTGGATCTCTGCTCTGATTGTGCTACTTAGGAAACCCTTGAAAAATCATTTAATTTTTTCAAACCCCAGTTTTCTCTTTTATAAAATGTGGATGATAGTGTTTTACATGCTTTTCTGATATTGTAAATGCAAGGACTTCGTAGAGGACTGAATGAATGTTAGGAAACATTGTGTAATCTAGGAATGTCTGCTAACAATTGAATTTTTAGCTATGTTTTCAGTAGAGGACCATTTTAGCAATTCTTTTTACCCCTACAAATAAGTCTTCCAAATACTGATTTCTGAGGTTCAGAAGTATTTGAAACTGATCTCCTGTCCCTGGACACGAAGAAGCCATCATTCATAATCAGCTGCATTAACTGCTATTCAAGCCTGTGTTCTTTAGTAATGGATATTCACCTTCCCCTGGAATTCAAAAGGTATCAGTAAGTGACTTTTTACTATGCTACAAGAGTTTATACTGCCTCGGAAGTGTGGCTCAGTGATTGAGCATTGACCTATGAACCAGGAGGTCAAGGTTCGATTCCCAGTCAGGGCACATGCCTGGGTTACAGGCTCAGTCCTCAGCAGGGGGCATGCAGGAGGCAGCTGATCAATGATTCTCTTTCATCATTAATGTTTCTATCTCTAGCTCCCTTTCCTTTCCTC